TCTCCTTCCACCTCTCTCTTCTCTCTCTTCTCCTCTATTCTCTTCTCTCTCTCCCCCCCCCCATCTCTTCTTTCTCCCTGTCTCTCTCCATCTCGCTCCTCTCTCTAGGTCTCTGCTTGTCTCCAGAAGCCCACAGCCCTGGGCCTTGTTGTCCTGTCTCCCTGTTACCAGGAGGAGGAGCCACACACAGGTGGAGACTGAGCAAGTGGCCTCTGGAGGGACCCTGTGCCGACTGGGCGACAGGGTGGCGGCCATCAGCGCTCCTCCGCGCCCTCGGTTAAGCAGGGTGAGTTGCAAGGCGCCGCCGCCCTGCTCCCGCTTCCCGCGCCCCACCGCACCGGGTCCTGGGTCCGGGCGCGCCCGTGTCCCCAGCGCACTCGCTGCTCGGCTGTCTCCCCCGCACCAGCTCCAGGGCTTCCGATTTGACTGTCTCCCAGGGTAAGCTCACGGGGCAGGGACGCTCTGGTTTCTTTTCAATTCTGCACCTTCAGTGCTTAGCAGTAAAGTTACCCTGGCGCTTGGCTTGCGCTCTCCTGCTTGGAAATGCGTCCTCAGCTATCTGTCGCCCAGGTGAAGACTGCAAGCCACAGGGAGCCGGCTTTAGCCAGCAGGCAGGAGGCTCTGTCAGGAGCTCTCCTTGGATTGTGGGGCACGGGCGGGGACCTGGGGGTCCGTGTGTCAAGTGTTCCTGCGCCCTCCAGTTGGGCGCTTTGGTTCTGTGGGTGCAAATCTTCATCCCTCTGAAATCCTGGCTAAGAATCTTTTTTCTACACTTCCTCCTCTTGCCTGCACGATCTACTTGGCTAAGTACACCCATCCATCCACAGCCAAAGGACTGAGGGTCCCTCCACTCACTATCCGCCCAGTACTGGAGAAGATGGAGGAGGTGGAGTCAGTCTGTCCCCAAATAACATGTTTTAAGTCAGTGCCTGGAGGATGAAATTATGATGTGAATCAAAAGGAGGGAAATGAGATCAGAGGCAGGAGGCACTAGGTTTTCCATCTGCTCTCTTCCACTTAGGAATACTGAGAAAGAATRCAGGATATGAGGTGGATAGACCTGGAAAAGGAGATGATAGGCAGGTGGAAAGATGATTGAAAGGTGATTTATATGGAAGTTAGATGGATGATAGGCAGACAGATGGCAGATCATTGATAGGTAGTATTAGATGGATCAAGGAATAGATGGATGACACGTACCAGTCTTCAGTCCCACTAGCATGACAGGAAGATTCCCATTTTATTCCAGAAAGTCGAGTTTGGGGGAACATTGCTGAGAGAGCTCTGTCAATGTGGGGGAAAGCCCTGAGGGGTTCTTGAACCAGTGTTATGGGCAGGCTATGGGCAATGACCAAACAGACTCCATTTTACCCCGAGACTCCACGTCACACAAGAAATCCTTCTCCCATGGGAACACCCCCGCCCCGTACCTATCAGTAGTTCTTAGGATAGCAGGTTTGGCTACACAAAAGGGCAATTCTTATACAATGTAAAATTGTTCTCTTTGATTCCCATTTTTCTTGGACAATGTACCTTTTTAGAGGATGATTGTCTAGATGTTAGTAATCATTCTTTAACTTGTATTCAACTGGGGTCACTTTGATCCACTTCCTTTCTGCTTATGAACATGGAAATTCCCAGAATGAAAATATGGTTATGGGCATTGTGTTGTCTTGCTAACTGCTCAGTCCAGCTTCGGTACCTGCTTGCATGCAGCTACATCAACCCAGATGTGGTTTTTGCCTTTAAATACCTTGAAAGGCTCAGGCTCAGGGCTGCAGAGACAGTTTTGGGTTCTACGGGGAGCAGTTGCTGGCCGGCTAATAAAGACTCTCCAATTCAGAGTGTTCAGAGTGGTCTGCCCCAGTGTTAGCACAGCTGCAGCCATCTTCCTTCCCCACCCACTTTATGACAAAGTGGCTCCAGACAAGACCTACCCGCCTGCAGCCTGGACACACGCTGGTCTCTCCCGGTCTCACTGAGAGATAGGAGACACAGTACTGCCCCTGAGATGGGGACACACTGGTTCCCTGTTCTCTCCTTGAGAAGATAAAGGGACCTGCTGGTTTCCCTGCTGCCCTCTGAGAGACAGGAAGGCTACCTGTCTCTGTTCCCAGGAAACCAGACCAGGGATGCTCACAAGGCCAGTCAGGACAGCCCACCCCTGGCGCAGAGCCAGGACTGCAGCCTGTAAAAGGCTACACTCAAGGGGAGTGGCTGTGCTCCCTGCTACTCTGCTGTCCCTCTCTTGGTGCAGAGCAGCTTGTCAGGCTCCTGACAATAACCGGCTTCCTGTCCCAGGTGTGTGTGATCCGTCCTGCGCCACTTTCCTTTCACTCATAACACCAGAGGAAACAAATTCTTGGATTTTCCAAGGGCAAATGTGCTGATGAAGTTGAAAATAATGGTTTCAGGAAGACTAAGGTGTTGAAGAGGCCAGGCCCGATGATGCACACTGTAACCTCTGCAGCTTGGGAGGCTGAAGCAGGAGGATTGCAAGGTGGAGGCCAGCCTGGGCAATTTAGTGAGACCCTGTCTCAAGATTTAAAATTAAAAAAAAAAAGGGCTGGGGAGCTGGGCACAGTGGTGCATGCTTATAATCCCAGTGGCTCAGGAGACTGAGACAGGAGGATCACAGGTTCAAAGCCAGCCTCAGCAATGGTGTAGCACTAAGCAACTTGGTGAGAACCTGTCTCTAAATAAAATACAAAATAGGACTGGGGATGTGGCTCAGTGTTCAAGTGCCTGAGTTCAATCCCTGGTATCCCCTGCAAAAAATAGGGGTAGGGATATAGTTCAGTAATATAGTACCCCTTGGTTCTACCCCCAGTGCCAAAAAAGAGGTGAAGAAATGAAGGATAGGAATCTGCAGCCAGGGAGAGAATTTAGAGCTGACTCTCCTGAGAACCTGTCATTGGGAAGTCGAGGTGAGTCAGAATGGAGTGGCCTTTGAGGGCCCATTTGGGGCCAGAGTTAGAATGTCACTATGGACGTTGCCATCACAGGCTGAGTCAAGTGGAGAGACGTGAGGGCAGGGTGCTGACTCCGTCAYGGTGGTGGAGAGGGTCCGGTAGCCTGGCTGGTGATGGCAAGCAGCACAATAGTGAATATCTCCATCTGCCAGGGGCGAGTAGATGCCAAGTGACAGGAAATGAAAGAGCTGAAGGTGTTCCCCCCCTCTTTGGAGTAAGCAGCAGCACAGGAAGTGGTGACCACAGAGTCGGCCCTGTGTGACCGGCCAGGGGGCTAAGCAAAGACTTAGTGCTGAACAGATCAGTTGAGGACCCTCCCTAGTGGCACTGTGAGGGAGATGCTTAGAGACCCCAGCCCGGGCTCAGCTCTAAACTCCTCTTGCAGCAGGAGGGGATAGATGGACTGGGGTCAGAACCAAAGGGCAAGGGTACACTTGCTCAGAAGGGACCAACTGCTCAGACATCCAGCCAAGACCTGCACAAGCCCACGAGCCACACAGACCAGACCGTGGCCCAGTAGGCACAATGCCACCAGAAAGCACAGTTGTCACAAGACCCCGAGTCCCTGGGGAAGCAGGACATTAAGACCTGCACCCACCCACATAAGCTTGGTAAGACCAGTTCCGGTTAGGACCTGTAGTGGGCCAGGATGACAGGATGCTCATCAGCACAGCACTATGACGTCAGAGGAACTGTAGCTCTTCTCCCAGCGGTTGTGCCTAGACACCTGTGGACAGAAGCATGCGCAGCAGAGGTCTGCCAACCTGATGGACTGTCCATCCAGAGCCGGAAGGTCTTTGCCATACTCTTACTACATTTGGGGCCTTGCTTGTCTTTTGTGAGAACACCAGCTGGGAAGACAACTCCAATCTCTGGTGACAATAGGAAGTCCTTCCAGTTGTCCAAGGAGACAGGGGAAGTTGCTTGGCCCATGTGGGTGATGAAAACGGAGAGAGAGGCTGGTTTGGGGAGTATTTTGGAAGAGGAATTGGAAGGGGTTCAGGACCAGCTAGCAGGCCGCTGAGAGGAAGGGTTGACTCAGGGTGGAGGAGGGCTTGGATTTGGTGTGTGACCCTACCTGTGGCCCTCAGCAGGCCTCAATCCAGGTCTCTTTCCCAAGGGTCCCAGCACCTTCAGCTGACCTGTCCCCGAGTTCTCGGACTTCCCTCAGTGATGTGCCTCCTCTTCCCTCTCTGGTGACAGGTGTTCCGGGCGCTCCAATCCTCTGCCATGCCAAGCAGCCTTGGACAAACAGCTCTCCACAAGTCTGTTGGATGTGTGTGAGGGTCTTTCTGGTTGTAGAGGGGAGTGGCCCATGAGATATGCTCCTGTAGTGGCACCCCCTCCTCCACAGAAAATCTTCACCATAATTGATTTTAGGACTATCAACAGCAGTCTCTATAGAAGAGTTCAATGTAGGTAAACTTTCTATTTTCCTGTTGCTGTATTTTACTTGGCCACTGGTCTGGAAGAAATCAGCACTCCAGGTGATTAACACCCCTTTACTAGTTTTTCACAAACATTTATCCAGAATAGTAGTTTGTAGAAGTGTGCTTGCAAATGCAAAGATTAAAAAAAAAAAAAAACACAAAACAGACAGACCCTTTAACAAGGCCTCTGGCCTTGAGCTGGGCTTCACAGAGATGTTGACATTTCTAAGAGAAGTTACCAACTGGGCTCTGTGGTAACAGCTGGCAGGGGGAGGAATGAAAGGGGAGAAGCACCTCCCCCTTTCTCAGGTGCTGCTCTTGAAGGGTCAACTTGCCCAGAACAGTGAAAGAAAAAGCTGTTTCTATGTGAACTTCTGAGCCCCTCCGCTTACGTGCTGGGTTTTAAGTTCTGAAACTACCTGAACTCGGGGTTCAGGGGATTAATTGATTACAACAAAAGCTGTGCCCTCTGAGCCTGGCTGCTGCCAAATAAAACTGTTTCCTGCTATCTTCAGGCCCTACCTTGTCTGTCCCTCCCACAGTCCTATATTCCAGATTGTTCTGTCTGCTTCAACCTATGCCCCACATGTAGTGCCCCTTAAAGCTTCCTGTTGCCCATGTGGACAGCACTTGTTTTAGGCTTCCTGTCTTACCTCGGAGGAAACCTAGTTTTGGCCATTTGGGTCTGCATTCTTCACCTCATATGCTTTCCTGCTAACCTGCCAGGACTGAACTGTGGGGCCAGGGTTGCCCACTCCCTCCACTGAGGTTTCCCTGCTAAGCTACAGGACAGTGCAGTGCCGAGCTCTGGGAGTGTAGGCACCCAGCAGGGTCTTGCCAGAGCCTGTGCACTGGACAGCAGACAGCGCCCCTTCCCAGAGCCAGGCTGCAGGCTCATGGCCTGCCTCCAGGACTGGAGACTCCCTCTTGGCCAAACACACCGCACAAGACACCTACTAATACTGATACCTGGGGTCCCTGAATGTCCCAGGATGGCATGGCTAAAGCAGCAGCCTCAGCAAGGCACCACTGTGGATATTAYATCAGATTGGAAGCTGCTGCTCAACGTCTTGCCTGAAGCTGCACAGCCAGGAAGTGTGGGGTCCAGAACTGAGCTGGAGATGGGCAGGGCCCCTTCTCTGAACCTCCTCCCTGTCTTTGTAGGATAAGCATGGGGCAGCCCCACCCCTGCTCCCAGAGCTGAGCCCAGACTTCAGGAGGGTCTGAGGTGGGCCCAAAGGTTCAGTTCTGGAGGGCTGTAGGCATAGTGACAGCCTGGGACAGCAGGCCACACACTGAGTCAGCAACTTTATTAGTAGTCTCCGATGCTGGTGAACTGTGGTCTCCGACCACCTTCCCAGGAGCAGGCACCCATTCACCTGTGTCCCTGGGTCGCAGAGAGGTGCACCAGACCAAGGTGCCCCACCTGGCTGCTGGGTCTAGCTGGTCAGAACCTTCGCCCCTCCCTTTCCTGCCTCCATCTGGCCTGGGGACAAGACCCAGTCCTTTCCTCAGGGTCTCCTTCACCCCAGGAGCCCTGCCACTACTCCTTGCCCAGGCTCTTCTCTAGCGACTGGGGTCCTGACTCTGCTTGACGCAGGGAAAGGGTGGGGGGGGGGAGGAAACAGAGGAGGGCTACGAGAGAAGAAGCGAGGCCCTTTACACACGGGTAGAAGAGGCTGAGGGCTTGCCAAGGGAGGAAAGGAGGCAACAGTGAGGCTCAACTGGAAAGTGGCATCTGGAAAGGAAGAGTGGGAAAGGAAAGGCGGGCCGTGGGCAGTGTGAGGGCGGTGAGCTAGCTACCCAAGGGGCCAGGGTGGGAATGAGCCGCCGCCCTCAGGGACCGGCGTGGCGGTCCCCTGTGCGCTAGCTGCCGCTCGGCCGTGGATGCGCTGGTGGCGCAATACGTGCTCCCGGCGCCCGAAGCCCTTGCCACACTCCCAGCAGGCAAAGGGCCGCGCGCCCGAGTGCGTCTTGCGGTGGCGCACGAGGTGCTCACGCCAGTAGAAGGTCTTGCCGCACTCGCAGCATGCGTGTGGCTTCTCTCGCGCGGGCAGTGGGCGCAGGGCCGGGCCCGGGCCGCCAGGGTGCGTGCCGCGATGTCGCCGCAGGTGCTCCTTGCGCCGGAAGGCCTTGCCRCACTCGGGACAGGCGTGCGGCTTCTCACTGGAGTGGCTCTGCCGGTGGCGCTGCAGGTGGGCCGGCTTCAGGGGCGTCTTGCCGCACTCCGGGCAGGACGCGGCGCCTGGGGCTGCCAAGAAGACAGGTAGGCCGGGCGCTGGAGGTGCTGGCGGTGGGCTGCCCGGCTCCTGCTTGTAGGGGCGCACGGCCCGGGTGTCCCCTGCTGCTGGCGGCACCTCAGTCCCAGGCACTGCATCTCCTGCTGGAGAGGCGCAGGGTAAGGGGCCCGCTGTGGGCTGCGATGGGGGGGGGGGGCAGGCAGACTTAGTACCTGTGTCTGCGGGTCTGGACAAAGGCTGGCGCGCAGCCAGGCCTAGGTAAATACTCAGTGGACAGGTGGACTGTGTGGGGGACACCGGCGTGTGGGTGGGAAGGGGTGACAGGACGAACACCGGTGGAATGACAGGTGGGGAGGGAGGAACAAGGTGGGGAGGGAGGAACAAGCATACAGAGGGATATGCCGCGCGGGGGTGGCCACACGATGAAGCTGCAGCAGCGGCAGGAAGGTATCAGGAAGACACGCCAGTGGCCGTCTGGCTGGGTGGAGATAGGATGGGAGGTGTTGGGGTGACTGGGAACTAAGCTGGACGTCAGATGAGTGCCTATGCCTTCCTCCAGGTTCCCCATCTGCTTTTCCTGTTTTACGTTGTGAGCTCAGCTTGACCCTCCTGCCTGGTCTCCAGCACTGGTTCCGCCCAGACCACCAGTCTCTTTTCCTCAGGTGGACGTCTTTGTCGGTCCCTTCTCCAAAAGGGCTGCACAATGAATGGTGAGCCCTCCTTGCCCTAAAGACTGCACTCCCATCCAAGGCAGTAGCCCCAGAGCGCCACACCCTGACACAATGACTGTGGGAGATGGGGCGGGCTCCACTGGAGGGGACCTGCTGAGGGCTGGGTGCACAGGCTGAGGAATGGGCTGCCAGCACTGCTCTCCAGACAGCCCTTTCTAGCACCTGGTGCCCCACTATCAGTAGCCACAAAACACAGAGAGCAAGACCTTCTCTCCAGGGGCTGCTGAGGGCTTTGGACAGAGGCAGCACTCACTGCAGCCGGTGCTTCTCACCGACTGCTCCTGTGGCCTGCCCTCCTAAGTCTGACGCCATCTACCGCCAGCTCCCCAAGGGCAGAGACATGCCAGAGTCATCTCTGGTTCTGGTGCCATGGCCCTTCACTGAACAAAGGGATGACAGTAGGGGCCAAGGGAGAGAAGGGACCCCTAGTGCTGGGGGCCAGGAGAACGCAGGGAAGAGCCACTGCTCACCTAAAGGCACCATCCCTCTATCTTCCTTTCCGACACTGACCCCGGAGCCTTCTGCCGTGTCCTGAGATACCCTCACTGCTGTTGAATGATTTGGGGAGGTGGCTGGTCCCTGAAACGAGAGATACCACATTCCAGATTGAGAGACCGGGTCGCAGCCTGCACCTCCCTTCCCTCATCCACTTCAACCAGTCATCAGACTGGTTTGCTCCAGGCAAACCCAAAGCTGTGCTGGAGAAGCTCCCCTGGCCTTTGGAAACCAGTGTCAGGGAGGTGTGTGGGAGGTGTGTCCTCCGCCCAGTCAACCCTTAGCCAGGCCACCTGCCCAGCCACTCTCACATTGATGACCCACACAAACTGGGCTTCAGTGTTTCTTTAAGCCCCTAAACTTGGGGTGATTTTTTCCATAGCATCAGATAACTAATTCACACACCTGTTGTAAATCTCACTGTGGCTTCTTGCTGTCCTTTGGATAAACTGCAGAACCTATAAGCTACTTTTAACTCAGGAAAAAAAATGAAGTGAGTTCAGAACCAGGGCTTCTCTCAGCACAAATGGTGGATAGCTCCTGAGTAGATGGTACCAGCCAAGAGCCCAAAGGCCAAAGAAGAGCTTTGGATTGTCTGTTTTAGGTTCTCTGCGCCATGGTTGCCATTCCTCAAACCCTGCCCCAGATGACTGCAGTTCTTCTGGGCTGAAGGAGTTGGCCCAGGACCACACCCACCACACCCCTTCACTTGAACTCTGCTTGGAACAGGAGCCTTTCCCACCTGAATCACCAGTCCCTGGGGACACTGGCCAAGCTGATGGCCCCACTCTGGGAGGACTCCAGCCTTTCTGGAAATGTCTGGTGTTGGGAGATGGGGAACTGACTCCTGACCACTCAAGCAGCTCCAGTGGTTATGGGCTGCAGACCATCCCTTGGAGATGGCTCTGGCCTTTGCCACACACTCTAGCTCCATCCTGCTCAGGCCCATCCTTGAACCCTAGATTCAGGTCACAAAGTCTGAGCTTTATGGAGATTTCCTCAGGATGAATATCTGTGCATCTGATTAAACCCGGCTTGGCTTCAACATGCCAGTTTACCAGGTGCTGGCTCACATCCTATTTGGGATGCTTATGTCTTTTCCCTGAGATGGGCCTACACCTTGCTTTTCTTGGGCTGTCCTTGTATGGCTAGGCCAGTTGAGGGGAGGTTTGGCAACCTTGCACAGTGGGCTGGGTGCAGTCCCACCTTCTCTGTGTTCTCAAGTAGTTGATGAGCCATTCCTTGAAGGGCTGGCAGCACAGAACTACTGGGGCCTGATGCTTTTTTTTGTACTGGGGATTAGACCACTGAGTTACATCTCTGGCACATTYTATTTTTTGAGATAGGGTCTCACTAAGTTCTCAAGGCTGGCCTTGAACTTGAGATCCTCCCGACTTAGCCTCTCAAGACACTGGGATTACAGGAGCGCACCACCACAGGGGAAGCTGGCTTGGCACTTTTGTGGAGGTCTTTTGATAAATATCCGATTCACCTCCTCTGGCTTTTGGACAGCAGATGTGTGCTTCCTCATGAGCACATCTTGGTGATTTGTATTTCCCAGAAATTGTGTACTTCCTCTGGGTGCACAGAGCCGTTCTCTCCAAGGGTGAGCTGTTCTCACCCCTGCTCTGTTCCTCACCAACTTGCTGATGGTCTGTTACAACTTTATTCTTCCCAAGTACAAGTTTGGGGCTTTCTGGTCATACACCTTTGTTTCTCACTACCTCCTGCCTGACCTGTGGACCCAGGATCCCCTTTTCCTTTCCTTTCCTGGGTTTCTGTAGTGCTCCAGGGCTCTGCCTGAGGCCCCTCCCCCAACCCCCTGCTTCCTCTGGGTTGGGTAGGCTGGCTAGTGCCCTGCCCCCATGTCTCAAAATAATCCTCTTTAGCTATTGTGTGCTGAGACCAGCTGCTGGGTGACTACATCTGAGCTCTCTGGGCAGATCAGATTCTCTCTCAACAGAAGTGGGGAAAGCAGATTATGCTGGGGCTTCCCCATGTCAAACTGTGTACTTCCAGGAAGCGCAAAGATTATTCATTCCCCCAAAGCAAGCATTTTCTTAGTAACTACTATGTGCCAGGGACACATCAGTGAAGATGAGGCTCCTATCTGAGAAAGGCTGAATCTACAGTCTGGCTAGGGCTGAACACGCCATCAAAAAAATAAAATTAAAGGGTCTGGGGATGTGGCTCAGTGGTAAAGTGCCTGAGTTCCACCCCCAGTACCATTAAAAAAAGAAAAAAGTAGCGCACTAGGGTACAGTTCAGTGATAGAGCACTTGCAGTAACGTGGGTGAGGTCCTGGGCTCGAGCCCCAGCAACACACACAAATTAGCAAATTCACCAAGGCCAGCCTCTTAGTGAGGGGCTCCCTCCATCCTCTAGAACCTGCAAGGCTAAGCAAAGCCCCTGGGGCCAGGGAAGGCTACCGGTTCCCACACTTAGATTCCCCCAGCATACTCCCTCCCTTCCCCAAATGGGAGGGATTTTTCTGCTAGACACACAAATGCAAATTAAAAGCAACAGTAACTACTATGACTTCACCGTCTTACCTAAAAGGACATTTTAATGCCCAAGGAGGCAATTGAATGAGCCAAAAGCAGTAACAGCAACTGGCCACCAAGGGGTGTTTCTGTGCAGGGTTGTTCTTCACTCCCCCCAGAGGTGGGCATGCACTCCCACCTTGACTAAGTCAGGGCTCAGAGAGAGCTAATCACTTGCAGTCTTGAGGCTACTACCAGGTGGGAACATCTCCAGGGCCCTTGGAGATGTTCTCTTGCCAGTGGTTGCCAACCCCAGTGGTAAACAAATCGTGAGGAGCTTTTTTAAAAATGCGAAATTCTAACACCGACAAAGGACTTATATCCATAATATACCAACAATGCTCAACACTCACCAGCAAGAAAACAAACAGCCAGTTCAGAAGCCAGCAAAGGACTCTGCTGTGGGCTGAGTGCCTTGCCCCAACTCCCCAGCTGGGAGTCTCACCCCCAGGAGGTAGTGCCAGCAAGGTACGAGGTTGTGAGGGTAGCTCTCTGGAGTGAACAGAAGAGGCCAGAGTCTCCTGGCCCCTCCTGCCTTTGGAGGATACAGAGGAAAGGTGCCATCAGGAACCAGGAAAGGGGCTTCACCAAACCCACCACTGTCTTTGACCTCAGCCTTCTGCATCCAGAACTGTGATGGCTTTCTGCGGTTTATGAGCTGCCTGGCCTTGACACTTACAGGGCCCAAATGGATACAGGAAAACCAGAAAGCACCTCCAACAGAAACCTACACTGGAGGTCACAGCAGCCGATTCCCAAAGACAATGGGAAACTGGAAACCCACCTGCTTGAGTGGAGAAGTGGACACATCTAAGCATGGTCCAGGTCACAGCATGCCAGGGTGGCCTTCAAGACACTCTGCAGAGTGAGAAGCCCCTGGAAGGCTGTGTACCCCAGGATTCCCTTAACTCCGAGCAGATGCTTCTCTGCTGGGCTGACGCAGGGTAAGGGAGTGCGGAGACAGCAGAGCTGGCCAAAGGGAGTTCTTTGGGGTGCTGGGATAGTCTGATTGTGGTGGTTATGAAATGTCACGCGTCAAATGCATCGGTGCATCAACTCAGATCTATCATTTTGCAGTTTTGGAGCCAGAAGTTCAGAAGGGTCTCTGGGCTAAAATCAAGGTGCTGGCAGGGATGCCTTCCTTCTGGAGTCTCCAGGGCCAAATATATTCTGGTGGCTTTTCCAGCTCCCAGAGGCTGCAAAGGGAGGAAGCCAGGCCCAGGAGCTGTGTGTAAGCCACATGCCACTGGTGGTTGGTTACAGCACCCAATCCAGAACACGGTGACCCAGAAGGGGTAAGGAGAAGGCCTGAGCAGCCAGTGGGTGAGCATGGGGTGGCCACAGGGTGGAAGAGGTAAGTGTGGCCCAGAGGAAGAGAAGAGAACCTGAAAGGCCAGGCTAGAGAAGGGAGCCAGCGGCGGTGGCTGGAGTAGGAGGTGGAGGTCACTTGGAAGAGCAAGAGGACATCCAACTCCCCTGCACCCAAATTTTGCTCAGAGACCTGGAGATGCTGCCCTTCCCTCTGCTATGCTCCAGTCCCCTGAGGATGAACTGTCACTGTTCTTCCCAAGGCTCACCCCCTGCTGGTCCCCTTGACTGCACCACACCTACAAGCAGGCCTATCTGCTCCAGCTTCTCCTCTCACCAGCCCCACATGGTGGCTGAGGCCACATGTTGAAAGGAAAATGCCTTAGACCCTGGCTACTGAAACCAAACTTGCCTGTCTCCTTTTTCCTCTTTTAATGTGGCTGCTAGAACACTTGGGAAGACGTGTGGCTCACATTCTATCTCCCCAGGACAGCATGGATCTTAACTAGGGTAGACAAGCTTCCTCTGCAAAGGCCCAGATGGTCAAGGTTTTTGGCCTGGCGGGCCACCAGGCTTGGCCCAGTGCTGTGAAAGGCTAGAAGGCCAGTTCTGTCGCTGTGGCTCCAGACCACACAGAAGTAAGCAGCCATGGCTGTGCACCAACAAGACTTCTAGAAAAAGGGGTTATGTCTGCAAATCCCTGTAGGGAATTTAGGCTTGCCCTAAGAGCAGGCTGGTCCTTGGCCTTGGCCTCTGGGAAGTCATCCCTGAGCCCTCAAGGCCTGGGCCAGCCAGAACACAACAAGGGATTTAGAGTGGGACCTGGAGCCACACAGAGGGAACTGACTTCCAGGCAGGGCGGAGACGGGCCCCAGCAAACACCAGCTTGGCCAGGCCCCTGGCTGATGGTGCTGTGTGTGCTGCCACACACTGCCACGGGGCAGGCAGACCTGTACAGGACCCCATGGGTGGACAGAGGGGATGTGTAAGACCCTTCCAGAACAGCATGTCTCCCTACACACAGCAGCTCTCAGGAGCCCTGAGAGTCCTTCCAGCAAGCACCACAGTAACTGAGGGCTTGGGTCCTACTGGACGGCAGGTGTTGAAAGGAGAGTGGCTCCTGTGCCTTCTTCCTGCCAGATGTTCTCTGAAATTCACCCCGTGTCTGCTTTGCAGCATCTGCACTTGGGATGCACCCTGGTCGTGTGTTCTGAGTGTGTGTAGTGCCCCCCATGCACTGAGGGCTGGCATCTCTGCAGTGCAGAGCGGGCTGTTAAGGAAGTCCTCCCAGGCCCTGAGGAGCTGGTGGCCCAGGAACCTCTTGCGCAGCCCCGCCCCCTGCCAGCTCACCCAGAGCTCCTCCAGCAGGGCCACGGCCTCCTCCCCACTCTGGGGCCTTCGACTGCACACCCAGGCCTGGGTGTCCGCGGGGAGGGCACTCAGGAACTGCTCTAGCACCAGCAGCTCCAGCATCTGCTCCTTGGTGTGCACCTCTGGCTGCAGCCAGTCCCGGCACAGGGCACGGAGCAGCCCCAGTGCCTCTCGTGGCCCTGGCGCATCGCCCAGGTGGAAGTGGCGGAAGCGATGCCACGGGGAGTCCAGGGTCAGGGCCTCGGCCACCCCGCCCTCCTGCTTCACTGGCAGGTGCTGGGGCACAGGGACCTCCATGGGGCCTTCTGGGTTGGGGGTGGCAGCACCTGTGGGGAGGGAAATTTTGAAAGTGAGGTCCCAGCTCCATCCCCCTAGAGACCACTGCCTTCCCCTGTGCCCAAGGGGACTGCAGGGCCCAGACAGGTCTGAAGCCAGGCAGCATCCTAGCTCCAGTGCCCTCTCTGACCTCAGTTTCCTCCCTTGTCAGATGCAGTACTTGCCTGTCTCTCCTGGCCACGGGTAGGACAGGTCAGTCGAGGTCCCTGTGAGGTGCTGTGCTGAAGAAAGGGTGATTGTGACTCCTCCTGGAAACAGATGGACTCAAATCCTGGACCTGGCCCTGCCCCTCCCTGGGGGCAGCCCTGGGTACTGCTGTAACTCAGTCTCCTCCAAGCTTCTCCAACAGCTTCAAGGTGAGGATTAAAAACACGTACAGGGCTTGTAAGGAGGCCTCAAGAGCAAGCCCCACCCACCCTCTTCCTCCTAAACAGCCAGGGGCTGGTCTTCGGCCCTAGGACTCACTAGGACTCACTGAAGCATACCCTCCGTGTCTGCATCTCCTCCAGCTTTTGGGAGGGAGCAGGTTAAGTGAGATAAGGGGAGCAGTGGGATAGGACTATGACCTTGTAAGAGACTGGTTCCTCTCTGCCAAGGACAGTGAGGTGGCCTCTGCAACAAGAGGCCTCACCTGCCCCCCACCCCCAGCTGCACTCTGTCCTCAGCCTCCAGCCTCCAGCCTCATAAACAGATTCAGTTCAGGAAGCTGTAAAAAAGCCTCACAGGGGGCTGAAGTTGTGGCTGATATGCACATAAACAGCACTGCATATAAACAAATAAACAAAGTCTATGGACAACTAAAAATATATATTAAAAAAAAAAGGACCAGACTGGGTGGCCTGGACAACACACAGATGCTTACTTCTAAGGCTGGAGTCTAAGGGGAGGTACAGCACCGGGGCTGCTCAGGCCATGTCCAGCTGCAGAGGCTGCCCTGCGTCTTGTGGTGGGCAGGGGAAGGGAACTCGTGTCTTTCCTTGAGGAGCACTGATCCCTCTCATTCCTGAAGGCAGAGGTGGACAAGGCTATGGCTGCGGAATGGGTGATACTACCAGAGGGGACTCTTAGCAAGGTCTGCAAACAGGTCTGTCAATGCACAGAGAGAGCCCCGCACTGCTGGCCTCAGTGGGCCCTGGCCAGAGATACTGGTCAGCATCCTACAGTGCACAGGACAAGCCTCCAGTCAGAACGACCTGTCCTCACATGTCAGCAATGCCAAGGATGAGAAACTCTGGACAGGAGTCATGGTCCTGGGTTGTCTGGAGACCTCTGAGAGCCTTCCAGGGGTACTATGGTTCAGTACTGTTTTCATGACACTAGGAAAGTGATCTGCTTCCGGCTTCTTGTTACACTGAAGCCAGGATACCCTAATAGGCCAGGCCCTCTGTGGCTCACAGCTGAGAGTTGCTAACTGATCCGTGATCATGAGATGAAGAGTTCATCTGCTGTGTGCTGGCTCCACGTTGGGCATGAACCATCTGGCAGAGGCCTCCCTCCTCTGGTGCAGCACTCCTTCCCTGTTCTCTATACTCCAGCCACATAGGCTCCCTCCTATGCCCACTCAAGGTAGCTCCCACTCCAGGGCCTATGCCTGGCTCCTCCTCCCTGCCATGCACCTGCTATCTCCTCCCTGGATGGCTCTTCTGCCCTGGTCACGCTCAGCTGAAACCTTCTCCTCACTGGGGCCTCGATGCTCCTCTGGAGATGCTCCCAGAGCATGCACCCTGCTGTGGCATCCATGTGCATTTCTCCATGCCTCCCTATTACTAGTTTTCTTTTAGCATTTAATAAGATGTGGCATTAACCATATTGCTGTTCCATCTTCCTTCACTAGAGTTTAAGCTCCAAGAAGGCAAGACACCATATATTCCAGGCCCAGCATTCTGGTGGGCACTCAGAAATTTTATAGGATGACCAATCCCACGGGGCTGGTGTCATCACCCCTTCCTGCAGATGAGAAAGTACAGGTAGCTTGCTGAAACACCAGCTAGTAAGTGGAAGAACCTGAATTCACCCCACTTCTGCAGGGCTCAAATCTAGGCTGCAGCATCCCCTCCACCCACCCATCAATTCAAGGTCTGATGGGCTTGGAAGCCAACAAGGAAGGCATCCAGAAAACCAGGGCCAGTGCCAAGCCTCAAAAGTCCCACAGAAACCTGTTCTGCCATGGAAAGACCCTTGTGCACTGGAGAGGGACTCTGAGCCAATGGGAGTGAGGTCCAGGCATCTGGCTGACCTGATTTATAAGCCTGGGTTGCAGAGAGTAAGCTGCTTGGGGCAGGGAGGACTTTTTGCTAGGACCTGAGGTCACCCAGTTCAGGAATATAATGAGTATGATTATTCACCCTGTAGGTCAACCTGTCCCTCAAGGAGTACTCTCTGCCATCTGCTTGAAGGCAGCTGTGACCCTGTTGTCTGGCAGGCTGGTTGTGCCACAGGGTTCATCCCAGAGCCACATACCCTGGATGTCTAAGGAATGACATCTGCCTTACACTGTAACACCTCCCAACAGCCCTGAGCTAATATCCCACTGTACAGAGAAATGTACACCAAAGGAGTGATGGAACTGAACCCAGATCTGACTCCAGGGCTCACGCCAGTCATACCCAGCATCATGGTGCAGCATCCACACAGGCAGGACTCATGTCACGGTTAAGAGCCAGGCTCTGGAGCATGGCTGGCTCACTGGACTTCTAGCTCTGCCACTCATCATCATGAACTTGGCCATGTGACTTGCCTTCTCTAAGTTTATCAGCTCCACCTTTAATTAATACAGGACCAATAGTAGCCCCTGCTCCTCAAGTAGAAGCATGGATTAGACACGGTACAGCACAGATCAAATGTTCCATAAAGGCCTGCTGGCCCCTGAGACTCACAACCTCAGCATTAATGGCATCTGGGACTGGACAATTCTGGGTCACAGGAGGCTGTCCTGTGCAGTGCAGATGTTTAGCAGTATCCTTGGCCTCGTTCCATTACATGCTAGTAGCACTTTCTAGGTGTGACAACCTCAAACATCTCCAGTTATGGTTGGCTGTTCCTGGGGCGACAAAACCATGCCTGGCTAAGAAGCCACTCACCCACAGGCCAAATATTTACTCAGAGCAAAAGAACTCTGAAGCAAATTCCGGCTCTGCCACCTACCGTCCAGCGTCCTTGGACAAAGTACAAGGACACGTTTTACACACAGAATCTCCATTTCCTTGGCTGTAAAATAGGGACAAAAATAAAACTAGCCCAAGAGCCGCAGTGAGAAATAATATAAGGAAAATAAAAATGAGGAGAAGAGCACCTTGCAAGATGTCTAGGTGCTCAAGTTAGCATTTAGTCTTATGATTGTCCAAAGTCCCTTGCGAGATGCTAGGGAAACAAGCACACAGATTGAAACACATTTATAAACTGCAATAGGCATCAAAACAGGACTTAGGAGTGGCCCCACCCTAACCGAGCGGCCCCTCCAGGCGGCCGGCCACCTCCAAGCCCACAGGATGAATTCTGTCCCTTTGCAGCACGCTACTGAGGCAGGCGCCCTTGACCCAGAAATAAAGGAACCGGGCCGCGATCCTCACCCGCGGGAATCCCAGCGCCGTGGGGCGCAGGTACGCGGCCAACAGCGCACACGCCAGGCCGCCGCTCGCCACCCGCCTCGGGTCCCTCCCCGAAACCCGCGCGCACCTTCCCGAAGGGGCGGCTCCCTCGTGGGGTCGCGCTCGGCCGCCTCCCTCCCCACGGCCCGCCCCGGACAGCCCTCCGCCCCCGACTCCCCCGCCGCCGCCCGCTCCCGCCCCGGGCCGCGCCCCAGAAGCGCCTAGTCCCCAGTCCACCGCCCCCAGCCCTCCTCCTCTCCCCTGGCTCACCTCACTCCCGGCGAGGCCCCCCAAGCCCCTCACCTTCCCGCACATGCGCACAGAGCTCACCGGACTCCATGCCCCAGCAGGCTTTGCGCCAACTCACCCGGATCCCCCTTCCCCTCAACACCCACACCCGGAGTTGCCCGTTCCGCCCAACAACTCCCCTCCTCCAGGGCCGCTCTGGGACTACGCTTCCCAGGGGGCATCGCGCCAAAGGCGGCTGCCCATTGGTCCTCGCAGCTCCTCGCGTCTCCACCAGCGCTAGAACTACATTTCCCAAGATGCATCGGAGCGCGGCCTGCGCCCAATAGATTACCGTGAACGCAAACTGAGCGCTGCGGTCTTCGGACTACGTTTCCCCGAATTCATGCGGGGGCTTCCTATTGGCCAGCGCGCCAGGCTCGAGAGAAGAGGCGGAGCCATGGCGGCGGCTTCGCGGAGACCAGGGAGGCTGGCACTTCCCCTCACTCCGGAGAAGCGCCTCCGGGACCCTGGAGCCTCGGCGAGGAGGAGGCGAGTCCGGCCCGGGCTCTCCGCCGGCCGGCAATGCGGCGCGCATCTTCCTGGCGGCCGGTCGCAGTTGCGCGCTCCCTGTCCGGCGGGGCCGAGCTGAGCTGGGCGGAGGCCGGTGCGGAGTCCGCACGCGAGCGAGTCCCGCGAGCACCCGCCAGCCCTGCTCTGGCTCCGTCTCCGCTCTCTCCGTGATCTGGGGACAGTACTGCCTCGTGGCCGCCATGGGCCCCGGTCGGAGAGGCTGCTGTCCCTTCCCGGGCCTCAGTTTCCCCCGTCTCAGAAATGGGAGGGAGGCGTAGGAGCGGTTAACGCGGAATCCGGACGGCGGTTCCAGGCTGACTGAGCAAGTGGACCAGCCAGTCCTGCCGCAGCCGCCGCCTCGGGCTCAGGTTGCGAGAAGCCCCGCACCTCCAAGACCTCTGAAGACCCCTGCAGGGACAGGGAGGCAGGTACCTAGCAAGCATCCGTCAGAAGGCAGCTGGTTACGTGCTCATCGAATTCGTGGATGCACAGGTGTCACGGTGGTTAACTGGCGGGCAGAGGACCTTACCCCCGGCCTACCTACCGTGGCCTACTGCCCTGCCCCACCTGTAGGCCCCCCTCTGCCTGCCTAACGTGTTGTTGTCACCCAAGCCTCTTCTGCTCCTAGAACCCCGTTATCTAATGGCCTATTTCACATCTCCACTTGGATTCCTAGGCCCCGCCCATCCCAGACTCTCCCTCGCTGCCAGCCAGGATTTCTTAAAAGGCATCTCTGACATAAAATGGGCAGTCAAGTATGTTTCACTACTTTCCTTTCCCGAGAAGAAACTGATTTCTTTCTGCTACGCCATCTTAAACGTGTCCATCATTCATCCAAATGTTCAGGCCAAAAATGGCAGGGTGGACCTTGAGTCTCCTCTTCCACCATTCCTACACAAGCGAAGGGTGGTCTTTGAGTCTCTTTTTCCATGCCAGTCGCCCATACACATCTATTCTAACAGCAGGTCCTGTTGATTCTGCCTTCAGAATAGTCAGGACTATGATGGAATGCTATTTAGTCTTGAAATGCTATTTAGTCAGAGCTGTCCACAGCTCTGCTGTCCACAGCTCTCCCGTCCACTGCTAACCTGGTCCAAGTTGCTTTGCCCCCTCTGAACATTGACCTGCTTGCTCTCTGGCCTCCTGCACCCAGTTCCTTCTGCAGATCACAGCCAGAGGGATTTTTTTTTTCTTTTTTCTTAATGGTAAAATATACATAGCATGAAACTTGCTTTATTGACCCATTTTTTGATTGTACCTTTTGGTGGCATTTAAGTACATTTAGATTGTTATACAAAAAAMCATCCACCTCCAGAACTTTTTTATTTTGCAAAATTGAATCTGCATCCATTAAACCATAACTTTCTACTCACTCTCCCCAGCCTCTGGCAACCACCTTCCATTTTTGTTATTGTTGTACTGGGAATTGAGCCCAGGGCCTCACACATGGGAGGTAAGTGCCGTGCTACTGGCTACACCCCCAGCCCCTAACATCATCATCATCATATTGGTTGTGTTGAGGTTGGAATTCATGTATGCCTAGGCAAGTGGTCTACTGCTGAGCACTTAAGCTCCACCATCCTACTCTGTCTCTGTGGATCTGACTATTCTAGGTACCTTATACAAGTGAAATCATGAACTTTTGGTACTTTTGTGGCTGGCTTATTTCACTGAGCACAGTGTCCTCCAGGTTAGTTTATGTAGCATGTGTCAGGATTTCCTTCCTTTTGAAGACTAAATAGCATTCATCATATAGACATATAACATTTTGTTTATCCACTCATCAGGGGCTCTGTTTTAGTTTTTTGTTTCCACTCCTATGGGAGGCGGGGCTCTGCCTTGTTTGCAACCCTTCAGGGTGCACCTTTGACCCTGGTATGCACAGTTCCCCACGTGATCTGAGCCCTCAGATCCAGCGTCCTCTGTCCACACAGGGTCAGGCACTCCTCAGAAGCTGCAGGCCTGAGCCAGGGCACAGGGCACAGGCTTGGCAAGTGGATTGGGAGGGACGGTTCAGCCACCACCTCCAGCCTGGCTGGGTGTGTGTGGGTTAGGTCCTTGGTTCACAGAGGCCTTCAGCCCAGCACCCCTTCCCACCTCCTCACTGTGCACTGTACGTCAGCACACTGGCCACTTTGTGTTCCTCTAACACAGGTTCTCCAAGTCCAGTCCCCAAGCCAGCTGCACAGCAACACCTGGGATGCAAATTTTGGGCTCCTACCTCTGGTTTACTGAATCAGAAGCTGCTGGTGGGCCTGATGGCTTGTTTCCAGGAGCCTGGGGGTTGGGGTTCTGGTGCATGCTGGTGGGCCCCATATGTCCTACCTGCAGGCTAGAGGAACTACCACTTCGTCGTGTTCTTGTGCAGAGTACCTAGGACTTCCAGGTGGAGCAAAGATCCTAAAAACACCTTCAATTCTTGCTTTATCTACACTAAAGTTCTGTACCCAAGCCAGAGCAATTGAACGCCCACTCCCCGCCCCCTGAATGTGGCAAAACCAGCCAATTCCACCCCAGAATGTTGTCTCCCCTTCATTCAGTTCACATGGATTGGTCACCTTCTGTGAGACACTGTGCAGGCTTGGAGGACAAGGGGTGGAAGAGGCAAACGGAATCTGTGCTCCCCCCAAGTTGAGGGCATACATGGGAGGTACATGTGAGAGCTGGGCTTGAAACTCCACCTAACACCCCCCATATGTGAGACCTGGGCCACTCACCAGTGCTCCGTTGAGATGGAGATACAGGACTGCTCAGAGTTGGGGTGGGGGTTAGTAAGGGCTGGGTCTTTACTGGCCTAAGCCAATCAGGACCTTCCCCTCCTTGCCAGTTATTGGTGGAGGCCCAGGTGTCTGACTGGAGAGATGCGGGGGGGCTGTTTTGCCCCCACCCAGCGGTGGGAGAACTTGCAGAATGGTTTTCCCAGCTCTCAAGAGGCGAGAGGAGGAAACAGTTGTCCTGCAACCTCATCCTGTCTGTGGGTGATGCTTTAAACTCTGGCAACTGTCTGGGTGTCATGAGGATGATGGTTGGAGCTCCCAACTAGGACAGGCAGGAGGGGAGAAGGAGGAGCTGGGTCCTTCATGACACAGTAAACAGCTAAATTAACCAGCTGAGGCTGGAGCTCCTTCATCCCCTCCTCCTGACACCCAGCGAGTCTCCTCAAGCCACACTGGGATATCTCTTCTTGAAACTGGAAGTGTCAGCCAGTCACAAAGCTGGGGCAGGCTTCTTGGGGTTGCACCCTGCACACCATGTGATGCCCTGAAGTTGGTCTTGGGGTTCTTGATCAGCAGGGGAGTCTGCACTGGGCCCTGCTCCTTTGCATGTCTGTGCAGTGTCTGAACTCCACATTCAGGCCAGGTGTCCTTAGTTCAGGTTCCTGGAGAGGAGGGCCTGATCTCATTTACCTGGGCAGATATCTTTACCTCATATAACTTGTGATGTACCCTGAGTGCACTATAGACACTGGCAGGGAGCAGGAGGGAGCCATGGCTTGTGGACTTCCTTCTTCCCTTGTACATCCTGCATCCTGCAGTGACCATTTCAGATGTCCCCTGCTTCTGGAAATCTTGCCAGACCACCCCCACCTCAGTAAGCCTGTACAAAGTTCTCTACTGAGCCTCCCTAAGGAACCCACCCCAGGCTTCATGCAGCAAAGACTGGCTGTCGTCTGCGCAGGCCTTGCTTCAGCTCGGCACCTGTGTGCCATGAGAAAGGGCCGGAGGGAAGCGGGTCTCGCCGGGCTTCCCAGCCCCCGGGGTGAGAATTCCTTTGGCAGCAAGTTTAGCTCCTACCCCCCTAAAGCAGCCTGGTTCCTTTGTAGCATGCCTGTAATTATTACTCAAAACAATAATTAACGTCTTCTGTCTGTATGGTGCTTTGAAGCCGCAAGGTCCTCCAGGGCAGGGATGGGGTTCGGTTCATCGCTGGGTCTGCAGCCTCTGGCACCAGGAGGCTCAGGTTGTTATTGGACAAATGGATGATGGTGTGTGAGTGAGCTGCGGAGAGCCCAGGAAGGAGAAGCCCAAGTGAACAGCACCCGCCCATGCAGCTCTGTGCCCCATGGCGGGACCTCCAGGGACTGACTTGGAGTGTGAATCATTTTTGGGCCCCAGGAAATGTTTGAGAATGGATAATTAAATTAATAAATGAATTGCTTAATGATGGGAACACGCTGCCCATTATCTCTGCCCGTACACTCACCTGCTCACCTGTGGAAGATGGCACCTCAGACACCAGCGCATTCTGCCTTGAGGATGAGAGTCTTGCGGGCAAGTGTGGTTCCCCGAGTGGCAGAGGACAGGCCGAGGGAGGCCGAGGCCCAAGGGTCTGCCCAGCCCAGCCCTGGTGGCAGGAATACTCTCCTCCGGGACCGCAGGCCAAGGCAGGGAAGAACCCCAGGAGCCTGCCCAGCCACTTGGCCATGTCGAGCCAGAGCAGTGTGGTTCCTGGGAGGAGGATCTCTGGCTTCTACCCCACTCCCACCCATCTCTTCTCCGGAGAGGCTGGAAGTTAAAACTGTTTGCTGGACCTCCTGTCTGCTAGTCAGGGTTCTGGGGG